AAGGAAGGAAGGAAGGAAGGAAGGAAGGAAGGAAGGAAGGAAGGAAGGAAGGAAGAATTTGCTCAATAATTGGAAAACAGCTAAATAAATTAAGATACGTTAAAGATGAGGACCTTTGCAGTGTTACAGAGAGTCACTGGTGAGGAAATTTCTATATCGTTGCAGGTTGACACCTTCTGAAGCTTACAATCTTATGGAGTTACTTAGAGTACTGAGAGGTTGAGTGACTTGGCCAGGGTCACATAGCCAATGGGTGTCAGAGGTGTAATTTGAACCCAGGCATTTTGGCTCCAAGGCCAGCTTTCTATCCTCTATGCCACCCTTAATATTAAAGGTATATCAGTGTAATGAAATGACAAATACAAGGAATCATGGAAAGCTATGTGAAGGGAGATCATAGAATGAGAAAAGTATACACATTGACTACCACTACAACTACTAATGTTGTAATCAACATTAACGGATGAAATAAGGAGACGAGAAGCAAACTCATTTTTTTTATTTGGTTCTACTTGGTTAAAATGCATGATATATTAACAATTTATGAAAGATTCTTTTCCTTATTTTGCTTGCTTGCTTATCTTTCATGGATATTAATCTATAATGTCACTGTCCTTTTCTGGTGTGCCATGTCATCCAGACATGACAGAAAAGCTAGCATTTTGGCAGATTATTTTATAACAATGATGATGATAGATTAATAGAGAGGCAGCAAGATATGATGATGGAAAGAGCACTGGTTTTAGGGTTAAACCACTTGAGTTCAAATAGAGAGGATTTCAGTTCCAATACTTACTAGCTATAGTGACCCCTGGCAAATCACTTAGCCTTTTATGCCTTAGTTTCTTCACCTGATAAATGGATTTAAATAATACTTGCCTCACCCATAACCCCCAAGGTTGTGAGGAAAGTGTGCTGTAAACCTTCCTGCACTATGGAATATGAGCTACTACTATGTAATATCTTGTAGTTACAGAACTCATCATTTATATTATCTCATTTGACCCTCACAATAACCCCTGGAGGTAAACAATGCAAGTACCATCCCTATTTTTCAGGTGAATAGGTGAGGGCAGTGAGGCCCAAAATGGTTAAGTGACTTATCCAAAGCCATACCCAACCTTACACAGCTAGTAAGTGGCAAAGTTGGGACCTCAGGTCCTGTGACTTTGGGCCAAGTTTTCTCTACTATACCATGTGTTCCTAAGTCATTATGGAATCTCAAGAGAATATTCTCAGGTCCCTATCTTCTAAAGCCAGGCTAATCTAGAGATCAACATTGTAGTTGTCTGGTAGCCTGGGAATAATATATACTTTCTGTACTTTTCTAAAGTACAGAGGGAGCCCAAGTGTGCCCTTGGATATTGCCTGGGGGCTTGGCATCATGGGACTTTGCCCAACCTGCTTTTCAGAGGCCTATTCCCCTATTCCCTTCCTTTTCTTTACTTCTCTAAGCCTACACCTTATCACCCACCTTTTCATTTGCCTTAAACAGAACCCAAGATATCTGCACTATTGTGACCTCAATGAAAACCCCTTCCAACAGAGGGAGATTGGAGGCTGGCTGAATAATTAGAGTCTAGTCTACTGTGTCTGTGGCAAAGAAAGGCTTGGTAACATTGCAGAACCTGCAAACAATGCTGCATTTTGATTCTCCTGAGCTACACTTCTCAGCTGGAAAGGGGCCTTTCCTCAGAGTGCCTCCTGCTAGGAAGTCAGTGTCCCAAAGGCTTCAGAGGCAACATAGCTCAACAGTGTTCATGAAGAAACAGGAGAAGGGGGTGGAGAGAGGAAAGGGAGGCAGCCCTGGACAGGGAGAAAAGGTATGTTTTCTGGAGAGATGTGAAATGAGATCAGGGAGGGATGATGGTGCTTTTTATTAACTGAGCTCCTGACATTCAATTCCAGTGAATAGCCTTTCAAGGAAAAAGCAGGCCTCCACCAGCAGAGCTAAGAGGAATAAGGGTCATTTGGTGTTTGTAGTTGTTTTAAAGTAGGTCCAGGTACCATTCACTTGATAGAGTTCAGGCGCCAAATCTACTTACTTGTTCCTTTCTTTCCTCTTTTCTTTCGCTTTGCTCAGGAACTGGGCAGTCAGGGGGCACCGTTAATCGTAATCTGCAGACGTTGGCCTAAGCAAGAGATACATACACATACAGAGCTGGCATTAATAGTAGACATGTTATCAGAGTACAGATCCTAGTGGCCTAAGATAATAGATGAACTTTAAAGTCGGAAGAGACTTTAGAATCCACAGATAAGGGAGTTGGAAGTGCAGGTGTTATGTAATCCAACCAATATCGAAACAGAAATCTCTACAAAACCTCCAGTGATGGGAAACCTATGACCTCTCAGAGCATTCCATTCTGCTTTTGGACAGTCTGAATTGACAGGAAACTTTCTCTTGATCAGTCATCAAACATCATGTGCCTACTGTATGTCAGTGACATACTCAAACCTGGGCTTTCCACATTATTGTAGCAGCTGTGTAGAGGATGGATTGAAGGAGAGACCAGGAGAGACCTAAGAAAGAGAGGCAGGTTAAGAGGCTATGGCACTAGTCCAAGTGAAAAACAACAAGTGACTGAACTAGAGTAGTCACCATATTGGAGAGAATGGGATGACTGCAAGAGATGAGAATAGATTCAATAGATGTTGTGGTGGTAGACTTGTCAAAAACTGATTGGATATGGGCAGTGTGATGGAGAGTGAAGAGCTGAGGGGGAATCAAACCAGAAGTTCAAAAGACAGGAGGGTTTCAAGGGAGGAGGTAGTAAAATCCATTTTGGATATGTTGAATGGAGGTTCCTGCAATACATCCAGTTCAAAATGTCCAAAAGACAATTGTTGACATAGGACTAGAGCTCAGGAGAGACCAGGCCCCTGGATCTGGGAGTCATCTGCATGGAGATAATTGAACCCATGGGAACTGATGATATCACCTAGGGAGGGGGTGTGAAGAAAAGAGGGCCCAGGACAGTGGGACTTGGAGGGTGATTCAGCATAGGATGCTGAAGACTGGCAGATAAATAGAACTAAGAGTAGATTAATGGTTATGACTGCATTTTAATTAAAATGCAGCTTAGTGTATATATTACATATATCATATGTAATTCCCCAGTTTTAGAGATGCAAATTGGAACTTGTGGTTTCAATGTGAAAAGGTATGAAACAGTGCCACTAAATTCAAAGAAAACACAGTAACCAGGAGAAAAGTGGAAACTGAAATCTACCTTGGTGCAACTTTCACCCAATGCTTCTAGCTCTGCCTTCTGGGGCTAAGCAGAACAAGTCTCATCTCTCTCCCAAATGAGAGCCTGTTGATTACATGAAAGTGGCTATTATCCCCCCCCCAATCTTCTCTAGAGTTATACCTCATAAATAATGACTCACAGTTGTTTAGCACTTTCATGCTTTCGATATACTTAGTCGGTGTAAAGAAAGTAGGGCAAATATTGCCCCTATTTCACAGATAAGGATGCTAAACAACTTCTATTTCTTCAACTAATCTTTGCACGTTATAATCTCCCATTGTTTCATCATCTTGGTCAACGTCCTTTTGAAATACATCTTCCATTTAGCACTACCCTTTTATTTTACATAAACTGCCTCTGTCATCCAGAAAGTCATCATAAAGTCATTTGGATTTATATCCCTTCCAAATGCCTTAGGGAAGAGAGCTATTAAAAAATCTTCTTAACATTTCTGCTATGAGGTGAACCAATTTATAGCAGGTACAAATGTCAAAAGGACCCTAGATTAGGAGCCAGAAGACTCTTGGACTAAGGTGCATGACTATGGGCAAGTCCTTTCATCAGTCTGAGTTGCAGTTTCCTCCTCCACAAAATGGAGATAATACTTGCAGTAGAAAATAGCACCTTCCTCAGTGTTGTGACATAAAAAAGTGTTTTCTGAACTTGAAATCATTAGAGAAGTGTTAGCTGTTATCATCATCTTCCCCATGGCTGCTGCCTGACATCACTGCCCCTTAGGTTATGATCAAGTTCACCTTACCCATACAGGTGAGTGCCTACAGAGTATAGGGAAGAAGGGTTCCACATTCAGGGCTGATACAGATTCTACCACCTGAAACCCACCTGTATGAGCTGGATTTACAGCTTCAGCAGGTGCATCTGAGCCATAGTACAACTGTGTACTGGTCTGTCTCCTGAGGAGGGACCTGCAGCCTGAAAGCATTCACCATGTTCCACAGTTCAAAGGTACAGTTCAACACACTGTCCTTTTTTTCTGTAGAATTTTAGTATCTGGAAAAAAAAAATCTGTAGGATTCCTGAACTTCCAGATCCCCATAGCCTGGAACAATACTAAAGCTGTAAATGCTTATTCTGAGAGCTATCATCCAAAAAAGGAAACCAATCCAATGCACTTTCGCTTTCTCCTTGCCTAATTGGAAATAGCAGAGCGTGGAGGCAGTACAGTGGATTGAGCTGACAGACCTGGAGTCAGGAAGACTCATCTTCCCTGAATTCAAATCTGGCCTCAGACACTTAACTAGCTGTGTGACCCTGGGCAAGTTACTTAACCCTGTTTGCCTCAGTTTCCTCCTCTATAAAATGAGCCAGACAAGGAAACGGCAAACCAGTCCAGTATCTTTGCCAAGAAAATCCCAAATGGGGTCAGGAAGAGATGGAAATGACTGAAAAAAATGACTGAAAAATTAGAAATAGCATCCAATCCAGGTCACTTTGGAGAGAATTTACTCTCCTGACTCCCAACAATTCTGGTTCATCCAACACATTCCTGGGATCTTTACAAATAACAAAGCATAACCCCCCTGAATAGACAAATACAATTTATTGGCCCCTCCCTCTCCCCTAGGTATTCTAATTCTGGCTGGGTCTGGACCTCAATAAGACTGACCTAGACTCTTTTTAGCTGCAGTACATTTACCCCCTCAAGGGTCCTTCCCCCACTCTCTTTACCTCTCTACCTCTTAACCTCCACCCTAGAAGATCCCATTACCCTATTCTCTCAAGAGCGTGGCATGGACTCCTACCTATTCTTTCACTACCCCTCTCAATTTTACCTGGACATACTCTCCTATACCCACCTATTCTCTATCCCATACTATCTTCCAGCTACCACACCTACTTCTTACTGACTCCCCCAGACCCAAATGAAATCAACCTATCCTCATCTCATCTTTTCCAGAGTGTCTTCACAAGGGGAAACTAGCTAATACAGGATCTAATTAATCCTTATGAGAAAGAACCAGAGCCTTGTCTACCACTTCCAGGTAATGTATGGTTTACCACAGACAAATTCCCTATTTTGATGTCAAACCAAAGTAAGATTCTCATAGAAGGAACTTAGACTGAGTAAATGGGGAGAAGATCACCACAGCCAGCCAGCAAGGGAAATGTTTTGCAACTGTAATGAACAAGTAACAACAATGTATAGTTATATTGCCCTTTAAAGGTCACCAAGACCAAGTGATGTGTCAATGGTCATATAGTTAGTAACTGTTCAGTCATTCAGTTGTGTCTAACTCTGAGTGACCCCAATGTCCATGGAGCTTTCTTGGCAAAGATACTGGAGTGATTTGCCATTTCCTTCTCCAATGTGTTCCCACTGAACTGAGGTGAAAAGGGGTTAAGTGACTTGCCCAGGGTCACACAGCTAGTAAGTGTCTGAGACTGGATTTGAACTCAGATCTTCCTGACTTCAAGCCTGGTGTTCCATCCACTGTTCTTCCTACCTGGCCCCAACTCACCCAGGCTAGAAATACAGTGGTTACTCATGGACTTGACCTCATTATGATCTGCACAGAAGCTTTTGACCTTCTCCATTTTCCTGACCTGGACTGGCTCACTCCTCCTTTAGTAGTCTTCTGGCCCTCTGCTCCAGGGCACTTACCATATTGGTACCAGACAGTATAGACACCCAATCAACTTCAGCCCTTCTATAGCTCAGAACTCCCAAATTCATGGAATCCATCAGCCTTAGACTCCCCAAGCAGCAGGGATTACAAGCATATACCACCAAGCCTGGTAAAAGGTGTGTCTTTATGGAAAATGCTATCCACATCCAAAGAAAGAACTATGGAATTTGAATGCAGATCGAAGCATACAATTTGCTATTTTTTTTCCTTCTGTTGTGCTTTGTTTCCTCTTTCTGGTGGTTCCTCCTATTGGTTCTAATTCTTATTTATAACATCACTAATGTGAAAATATATTTAATAGGAACGTACATGTAAAGCCTATATCAGATTGCGTGTCATCTTGGGAAAGGAAGTGGGGAGGGAGGGAGAAAAATCTAAAACTCAAAAGCTTATGGGAGTGATTGTTGACAAATCAAAATAAATTAATAATTTTTTTTAAAAGTGTACCTTTAACAAAGCATTTCAAAAGGAATGTCTTTGTTAAACCACATGTCCTTATTTTCTTCTTTGAAAAATAAATATAAGAATTTCCCTGTGGGAAAGTTTTCTATAGAGTAAGAACAGATTCAGGGGAAAGTCTTATCTCTCTGCCCATTTTATGACCCCAATTACTATGGTATCCAAGAACACAGGACAACAATCTCCTGGCCTTCCCCAAGGGCTACTAAGGCTAATGAATTACAGACTGACTTCCCTCTAGTCTCACTAAAGCTGCTGTTACATGGTACCTGAAACATGGCAGAGAGTAATAACTGGCATTTGAATATTGCAAAGCATTTTACATTTACTATTGACTAACAACTACCAATGAAGTAGTCATATCTAGTATTATCACCATTTTACAGGTGAGAAAACTGAGAATCAGAGAGGTTGAGAGCCTCACTCACTTAATAGTGTGATCACAAGCATCAGAAGTAAGATTCAACCACAGGTCTATCTGACTTCAAGTCCAGAACTTTATCTATCACACCATGCTAAGATCATGCCAGATTCCACCTATATCATCATTTAACAGCACTCAACAAACACATTAAGCATATGCCATGTTCAAGGCAACGTTTTCAGGCTGGCAGTTTTTTTTTGATGATGGAGTCTTCATGCAGATAGAAGCATACTTTTTAAACTTCATTTTTGTTGTTTTTTTATTTTTATTTTTGGTCTGTTTTCTTTTACAACATGACTAATGTGGAAATATGTTTTGCATGAATACACGTGTATAAGCCAAAGCAA